AGCTAGATGGCCGCTTGTTTACCTTCAAGCCTTTATGAACCCAGACACTATATCTTTTGATAGCCAGGCATGGTCAGCTTTCTTCACCGTATTTGCTTATGCACCCATTTTGTCTTCAGCAATCATGTTGGGAAGGTGAGCAACACAGAATGTTGGGCTATTAGAACAAAGTGTTCTTGTATTGAGGGAGTACTTGAGTAGAGGCCAGTGTCTGCCTGTTGCCTTAATACTTAATATATAAGTATATGTACATAGATCTATTTCCCTATTGTTATATATCAATACATTTACATATGTGCATGCCTGCATTTAGACCTCTATAAATGTCTTTTGCCCCCCGAGTTCTTTCTTCTATTTCCTTTTACTTTCCTTTTGTCCCACTATCATGCTCAGCCTTCATTCGGGTTTCAGTAATCCCTCTCGGTTACATTGCCCTTGATCAAGTCCTGCCAGGCATGCTCTACCCACCTAGCCATCGGTTTTAGATCACTTGTTGTTCCCTTGTCTCTGGGTTTGTTGATATCCCCCTTCCTTTCCCCTGCCTTCCCCCCTCTCCTGTGTCCTCTGGAATTGTCAGTCCCATTGTTTTCTACCCTGGATTGTTTATCCTACCTCTCTTATCTAGATAGACATGCAGAGACATTAATAAGCACAAAAACAAGACAAAGCAACAAAAAAGACAACACAAAACCAAACAACAAAAGAAAACAAAAAACAAAACAACAAATAAAACCAATGCCAAAAAAAGAAAAACCTATAAATAGTTCCACATTTGTTTGTTGACCTTTAGAAGTCATTGATAATTATTGGTGATTGGAATGCAAAAGTTGTAAACAAAGAGGAGGGAACAGTAGTTGGAATATATAGACTTGGTAATAGAAATGAAGCTGGGAGTTTCATGATAGAATTCTGCAAGACCAACAACTTATTTATTGCACATACATTTTTTTCAACAACATAAAAGGTCACTATACATATGGACTTCTCCACATGAAATACACAGAAATCAAATTAACTTCATCTCTGGGAAGAGACGATTGAGAAGCTCAATATTAGCAGCTAAACCAGTAGTTCTCAACCTTCCTAATGCCGTGGCCCTTTAACACAGTTCCTCATGTTGTGGTGACCCCCAACCAT